AAGTGGGGGAGAACAGCTGATCGGCGGTTCCAAAATGGCCGCCGGAAGGTCCGCGCCGCATTTTCGCACCCTGCCCTCGCTTACCGAGGGCGCGAAACTGGCGGCGCTATGGAGGAACATCGCTTAACGGTGAGTTTTAAAGCCATAGGAACGCACTGAACGAAGTTCAATGCGTTTCTATGGCTTTTTAAATTCAGTTTAGCGATGTTTCGCTATAGCGAAGGTTAATCCGGAACGGATTAACCTCGCTATGCGAGGCACCACTGTACTGTACAATTACACTCATTTCACAAGCTAGCAAGGTTATGCTCAAAATCCTACAAGGTAGGCTTCAGCAGTACATGGACTGAGAACTCCCAGAAGTACAAGCTGGATTTTGAAGAGGAACTAGAGACCAAATTGCTAATATGCGCTGGATTATGCAGAAAGCCAGAGAGTTCCAGAAAAACATCTACTTCTGCTTCATTGACTACGCAAAAGGCTTTGACTGTGTCGACCACAACAAACTATGGCAAGTTCTTAAAGAAATGGGAGTGCCTGACCACCTTATCTATCTCCTGAGAAATCTATATATGGGACAGGAAGCAACAGTTCGAACTGGATATGAAATAATGGACTGGTTCAAAATTGTTCAAAAGTATGACAAGCTGTATATTGTCTCCTTGCTTATTTAACTTATATGCAGAATACATTATGCGAAGGGCAGGACTGGAGGAATCCCAAACCAGCACTAAGATTGCCAGAAGAAATATCAACAACCTCAGATATGCAGATGATACCACTGTGATGGGAGAAAGCAAGGAGGAATTAAAGAACCTCGTAATGAGGGTTAAAAAGGAGAGCGCAAAAAATGGTCTGAAGCTCAACATAAAAAACACTAAGATCATCGCCACGGGCTCCATGATCACTTCAGATGGTGACAGCAGCAGCAAAATTAAAGGATGCCTGCTTCTTGGGAGGAAAGCATTGAGAAAGCTAGACAGCATCTCAAAAAGCAGAGACATAACCTTGCCACAAAGGTCCGCATAGTCAAAGCTATGGTTTTTCCAGTAGCGATGTATGGAAGTGAGAGCTGGACCATAAAGAAGGCTAACTGGAGAAACATTAGGAAGAAAAAACCTTAAGAACATGGTCAAAACAGCCCAGAAAACCCACAACAACCAAAATGGCAAAACTCTGAACTAACAATTGTGTAACTTAGGTTCATTATAAACCTCCTTCTCCTATATTCTGAAATGTAGTGCAAATTTAACTGGAACAGTAGCATGACAAAAGCAAGAAGAATTCTGAAATCTTTCTTCACTAGCTGTTTTTGACAACTGAAATTGCTCTCTTGGTGATGTTTACAAACCCACACTGAGAGGCACTGTAATCCCTATCTTAACAGGTGCGAAAGCTGCTGGAGGAGATAATGATGGTAAGACACATACTTTGAACAAGGCTTCCTCCTTTTTCTACAGAATGTGAGAGAAACACAACTACTAGCATGCTGTTACCTTTCCAATTAGCATTATTTGTTCCAGCATCTGGCAAACTCTTCTGGAGTCAACACCAATTTATCATAAACGTTTACTTCACAGCAGTATTCTCAGGGCTTAATTTGGAGCATTAATACCATGAACCACCATGGGCCCCTTTATGAGAAGAAAGGCAGCCTATAAATAAAACAAATGAACAATTAAATACAAATAAATATATTTCAAAAACACATTTATTAATCTTCGTTTTATCAAAAAATGAAGAACGAAGATCATGGCCACTGGTCCCATCACCTCCTGGCAAATAGAAGGGGAAGATACGGAGACAGTGACAGATTTTACTTTCTTGGGCTCCATGATCACTGCAGATGGGGACAGCAGCCATGAAATTAAAAGACGTCTGCTTCTTCGGAGGACAGCAATGACAAACCTCGACAGCATCTTAAAAAGCAGAGACATCACCTTGCCGGCAAAAAAGGTCCGCATAGTCAAAGCTATGGTTTTTCCAATAGCAATGTATGGAAGTGAGAGCTGGACCATAAAGAAGGCTGACTGCCGAAGAATTGATGCTTTTGAATTGTGGTGCTGGAGGAGACTCTTGAGAGTCCCCTGGACTGCAAAGAGAACAAACCTATCAATTGTGAAGGAAATCAGCCCTGAGGGCTCACTGGAAGGACAGATCCTGAAGCTGAGGCTCCAATACTTTGGCCAGCTCATGAGAAGAGAAGACTCCCTGGAAAAGACCCTGATGTTGGGAAAGTGTAAAGGCAAAAGGAGAAGGGGACGACAGAGGACGAGATTGTTGGACAGTGTCATCGAAGCAACCAACATGAATTTGAGCAAACACCGGGAGGCAGTGGAAGACAGGAGGGCCTGACGTTCTCTGGTCCATGGGGTCATGAAGAGTCAGACACAACTAAACAACTAAAGAACAAAATATATTTTCCATAATTAGCATTCGTATAAACAAAACGAAGCACTTGTTCCATGAAACTTGTCTCACTTAAAAAACTCTGCCCCAGTCACCATTCAAAATTCTTTTCTATGCCTCACAGTAACTTCTGACAGGCAGACACTTTTATTAAAAGAGTTATTCTAGTCATAGTCACTAAAAGATAAAGTTCTCTGTCACACAGTGATGCACATCAGATTTCATAACTGCCAAAGTATATCCTAGGTTCGCTGCTTTTATTTCCTCTCAAAGCCCTTCAGCCTCCCTTACTCATACCTGACCTACTTAATTAGCAGCCAGTTCCTAATCTGTCGCACCTGTGTGTTACAATGTACAGCACAGATACGCCACGGAAGAGCCCCGGACATATCCCGGGAAAAGTACTGGGTTACATCACTCTTTGCATTCCCGAGCAGCCCCTTTTATCCTAAAAAGGCAGCGGTTGCGAACACGGATCAAGAAGTAACGGCCGCCCCAGAAGAAGCATAAGGTTCTGCCTTGCTTGCCTCGGGCGGCATCCCGTCGAGGGCCCGTCCAAGAGGGACAGGATCCCACCCTTGAAGAAAAGCAGCCCTCCAAAACAACCCCGCATCTATAGCGACGCTGAAGGGGGTTCCACGTGAGAAAGAGAGGAGAAAGGGAAGTAACGCCTCCACAGTCCCGAACTCACCTATTTCTGAGGGAACCTGCTCCGAGTGCACCAATCCACACTTTGTGGCTGGAAACACAGGTCATTTAATAATTTAATTTACCACGCCTTTCCTCCTCTCCCCCCCCCTTTTCATTCTGCTCGGAGGGCACCCGCAGCAAGGTCAGTTGCTTCCGTCACAAAATGAATACCGCGGTAGGAAACAGGCGCTTGCGCACTGTGCTCCCCTCCCCCCCCCGCACCCCCCCCCCCGCGGCTCAACCGCCACTAACGGCGCGCAATCGACCGCAATAGAGATGGACTGGAAGAGGTGGGAGCGTTAGCCGGGGCAGTATTTTCTCAGATTCCGATTGGCCGACTGGGCTGGATTTTTTTTTTGACAGACCAGTCAGGAGAGCGGCAGGAGGAGCGAAAGCGACGCCGAAGGTAACAGGTGCCGGCAGAAATCCTCGCGGGATTGCAGGGAAATGGCCTGAGGAAAGGAAGCGTCCTGTGGAGGGGGCTGAAAGACTTGAGGGAGGCGTTGTAGGGGTGAAAACCCATCGGGAGCGAGAGAGAGAGGGGACGAGAACTGACTGGCCTCAGGCACCAGCTTCTCTCCTCCTTCACACTGCCAGAGGCCGGCCCGAAGGCTTCCCGTCTGGAGTCTTTGGTCTCTCCTGCCCTGCTTTATCGTTATCGCCGCCTTCCTGACTGAGAGCCATATCCCACTATCAAGGAAATCCACTGGGGGGAAAAACATGACACAAAATCAAGTGTAGTACACCCAAGGCACATGCACGAGCGGACTACTCTGCCAGGGAAACGATTTTTTTTCTGCTTTCTGCCAGAGATTTTGAGGCAGATTTCAATGAATTCCTTCTACCTATGTGAATCCCTTGCTCTACTTCTTTGTGAGGTTTTTTTTTTTTTGCCAGCTGTCGGTCAGCCAAGCCAAGCCTTTCTTCCCTCCGCTTTCAGCCCCCATCTCCTTCCTCCCCTTCTACCCCTCCCTCAAACAACCTCTTCTCCTCACCCCTTCCCTGTTTTCTATTCCCGTCAGTGACCTGCTACCACCCTCATCCCTTGCCTCCCTTTCCATTTCCACCCCTTTCATGATTTCATAAGATTTTTATATGAGACCCTCACCAAACCAGCATCGAATTATCAAGCCTGGCCGTGCCCACAGACTACCAATCGAAGGCATGCCTGGGACCCATATTTTTGTGCTTCAGGGCAGTGGTCTCCAACGTTTTTGACCCCAGGGACCCTTTGAAGACCATTCTCCCAAGGATTGGGGGGGGGAGTAATTACAGGGACCCTTTGAAGACCATTCTCCCAAGTATTGGGGGCGGGGAGTAATTGTTATGCAGTAGGTTGTTGGAGGGTAGATTTGAATTGAACTAATTACAGTACAGGTATTGTGATGGGACAGATGAGGGGAGCAAAAGGTGAGCTGCAGTTGAAGTTCTGCATCCTGTTAGATCAGCAGCAGCTTAGAACCTAATAGGAGCACACCGACAGGAGGCAGAGTTTCACTCGCGGCTCATGTCCTGCTCGCCACTCATTGGTCCCGGGCATCCTGGTCCTTCCAGTCCGCGGCCTGGATGTTAGGGATCCCTGTTTTGGGGTAATCCTATATTTAAAAGTTGTGGGGATCTATGGGGACCCAAGCCCTGTACCCATGTTTTTGTGTTTTGGGGTGAGGATGGGACCGCATCTTCTTTAATTTTCTGAAGCTGAGATAACAGAGAGGAGGGCTTATTCTCTGGCTGGCTGGGATTCAAAAAAAGCTCAGCTTTGCTTTCTTTCCCAAAGAAAGTTTTCCCAAATGCTTTCTCAGTGTTTCAGCCTGCTCCTCCTCTTTGCTTGCTTTTGACCAGTCAGCAACAGTAATGAAAGGTAAGGCAACTGAAACACTGGAAGAGAAGGGGATGACGGAAGATGCTTTGGATCTTTGGTAACAAAAAATGAAGCAGAGCCCCCAGGAAGCAATGCTGGTTGTCAGATTTTTCCCTATTATAGTGACCCTGTGAATTAGTCCTATCATTAAGAGTTCTGCTCATGTTTTGGAGACTAATAATACTGGTCTCCTGTACCCATTAAATTATTCTCACATTTGGTCTTATTTTCCTGCTGCCTTCAACTTTTCTTACCATTGTTGTCTTTCCCAGCAAATTAGCTATGCTATGTGCTGACAAGTTGCATCAGACTTAAAGTAATTCTAGTAGGGGTTTCAAAATATGTTCGTTGTGTGAGGCACTCGTTGTGCGAGGCACCACTGTGTGTCAGATAATCAAGGAGTGGTGTGACCCACACCTGTCACCTTTTAAAATATCTTTCCAGTAGCATATCTGACACCAGCGATTAACCACGCTAGACCTGGTGGCTAAAGAGTGAAAATGATAACATTTAATTACATAGGAACGTTAGACTGGGAACAAATTTGAGCTGGAGTTTTTCTTCAGCTAGAACAACCAATTGAGATAATTCATAACCACAAGTTTCTTATCTTTCTCTCTAGCTTTCAGCATAGGCATCCTTCACTCTCGAGAGACTATGGTAACATGCTCTGAATTGAGGAGTGTCCTCTCCAGAGCATGAAGCCCGGGTAACGTAATATGGAGGATAGGCTGTTACCCAAGCAGCAGATCCCTCCTCTCCACATTGCTGAAATGGTCCAATGGAAAGGCAAGAGCCAATACAACTGGTTACAGCAATGTCGTAGGAGTTGGCAGAACGACACATGCTGCCTTCGGGACTCCAGCTCCGGATTTTACATCACCACAAAAATGTTAATAAAGCATGAAATGATTGAAAAAGATGAATGAACCAGAAAACCAGCTTCTTTGAGAACGAGGTCCTTGGTTTTAAGTGAAAATGGGCTATGCGTCAAGTGGCAAGATTCACCATGAAAGAGTCAGAAAACGGGGCCACTGACCGCAAGAACATTCCCCACCTGGAACATCTCTAGCTTTAACATTTGCTCAATTCTATATACAGTGGTGCCTCGCATAGCAAGGTTAATCCGTTCCGGATTAACCTTCGCTATAGCGAAACATCGCTGAACGGATCAAAAAACCCCAAATGGGCTGAAACCTCACCGTTCAGCAATGCTTCCTATGACCGGCAGCCATTTTCGCGCCCTCGTTAAGCGAGGGGAGGGCGCGAAAACGCTGCGCGCAGCCATTTCGGGGCTTCCGGCGGCCATTTTGTCCGCCTAACAGCTGATCGTCGGGGCTTCGTTTTGCAAAGATCGGTAAGCAAAACGCTTGCCGATCTTCGCAAAGCGAGTTTCGCCCTATCTAAACAACGTTGAGCGATCGCATTAGCGATCCCAAAAAAGGGATCGCTATGTGATTTTGTCGTTGTACGGTGCGCTCGTTAAGTGAGGCACCACTGTACCTGCTTTTCATCAGAACGCTTGTATTTTATTTTCCCCCCTTAAAACCTCCAGACTCCTCTCACTTACATTACTCCACCCCTCTAGCCCCCTCTTCCTTCGGCTCCAGGATAGACTGACTGCATACACCACCCAGCCAATCACATTGCTACCCTGTTAACAAGCGGATTGGCCAGTGTTCCCCTCACAAGTGGCTTTCACCACTGCGGTACTCCCTGCAAGTTTCCATGGCAGAATGGGATTTAGAAGCCAAGGTGGCCAATGTTACACTGCATTGGCTCTCTGGGAAGGGTATGTGTAATCTGCATGGAACAAAGTGATCATTAACATAAATGGGATAGGTCAGATCAAAGGAACATAAAATTGATTGCATTGCTGTCCCTCTTTTATTATTTTAGTTAGGCATGTACTGTCAAGTCAGAAACAACATAACGACTACGTAATAGGATTTTCAACATAAATGAGATATTTAAGAGGGTGTAGTGTTCACCCTAAGTTATGCAATAAGTTATGTATTATTCATAAGTTATATGCTAATGTGGTTAAGAGGTGGGGCAACAAGAGATGTTAAAAGGTGGAGCCTGAGAGAGGAGGAGTCAGAGAGAGTCTGGGTTAGGAATCAGAGAAGGATAGTTTTGGGTCTGAGGAGTGACTAGTCTTAGTGTAAACTGTGATAATCACTATAGAAGGTTAATATTGAAGCTTGATGAAATTTGAAAAAAGTGCTTATGAATTGTACCAGAACCAACTGTAATCAATAAACCCGTTCTATTAAAAAGTCAGTGCTGAGTGGACCTTCATCTTTTTAAAGTAAAGTTGATAGGGAGATCAACTGGTGGCAGCGTGTCAAGAGGTTTTGGTTTGCCTTGTGAGCTCTGTTTATAGTGAGACAAACGGGCCACAAGGGCAAACGCCACAGAGGGTTTTACCATTTCGGCTCCCCAAATGTGCTTCCATGGCCAAATGGGGATTTGAACACTGCTCTTCAGAGTCCTAGTCTGACATTTTCTGCACTACACCACATTCCAGTCCCTTATAATGAGAAGAACATCTTTATTTGGTGTCAGTTCTAGAAGGTGTTGGACGTCTTCATATAATTGGTCAATTTCAGCCTCTTCAGCATCGGTGGTTGGTGCATAAATGTGGATTACTGTGGATTACTGTGGATTACTGTGATGTTGAAAGGTCTGCCTATTGAAATCATTCTATCATTTTTGAGATTGTATCCCAGTACAGCTTTTTCCACTCTTCTGTTGACTATGAGGGCTACTCCATTTCTTCTACGGGATTCTTGCCCACAATAGTAGATATGATAGTTGTATGAACTGAATTCGCCAATTCCCGTCCATTTTAGTTCACTGATGCCCAGGATGTCAATGTTTATTCTTGCCATCTCCTGTTTGACCACATCCAGCTT